GGCGAGAGCATTGACGATTTTGAATACACATATGGAAAGGTTGGTGCTGGACTAAATTTGGCAAAGACGATGTTGATGAGAAACGGATTGATTTTATATGCACAATTTTGCTAAATGAGTTGATTAAGATACCGACAGATTAGAAGAAAGAGAGTAATATATCTTTTTGCGGGCCATGAAGGCAATTATGAGGGATATAGTTGCGATTATTGGTACGTGTTCCAATGCAAATTCGCGTTAATTAAGTTTTCAGAGAAACAGTATTCACTTACTTACTTAGAACTTAGATGGTACGTCTTCACTAGTTGTGCGGGCGCCCAGCACATATTCCAAATGATATATTGCCGGTCGTGCTAATGATAATCCTTGGTTTCCTGATGTAACTTTGCAAGGGCTTCTTCAGGTCATCATGATGTCGTTTCCAAGAATGGGTTTCGGCGACGTATCCTCGGCCGGGCTTCTACTAGTTGATTCGCAGATGTGTTTAGACCGAAATCAAAGGCAGAGGTAGTCAATAAACCGGCCGCTCGCGGATGATGTAGAAGCCGAAATATCAGAGAAACATTGTCTTCAGGAAAAGTTAAAATATTACTGATGAGACTCCTGCATGAATAACTTTAGCAAGATTAACGCTAATTCATCCCAAAATCTTGCCTTTTTCAAAGGAGAAATCCACATTCTTGCAAAAAGGATTAAACATCCAGCTGTTATTGAACACTTTCTGATACCTTCTCAATGTTTTAGCAGTCAATCAATAGCTTGAAAAATTTTGATTTTGACAGTAAGCTTGTTGTATAAAAAGATTTACATAGTACGTTCCACTAATAAGTAAAAGATAACATTTCACAGTCGTAATCCAATTTTATAGTTCATAGAGGGTCTTTGGGATTATGTAATTAGATTTCGATTCCTATAGAGCCTTCTGCCAAAAAACAATTTAGTTTTTTTTAGTTTTTTTTTTTTTTTAGTTTTTTAATTTAGTTTTTATTGTAAGAACTTTTACAAATGTGTTTCTGTAAGGAAAAGCGTCGAAGTGTTTTAAAAATTCATACTTTTGATAACTATTCTTGTTTCATTTAATCGCATTTCAAGAATTGCTCTCGTGAGCCTTTAATTTCTCTAGAAAGGCCTATTTCACTAAGTAAGTAGTATGCATTTGACAACTCAAAAGGTAGAAATTTAAGAATCGAGGTTGACTTTATAAAGGACATCTTCTGCTTGTGCTACTACGGAAAAATAATAAAATTTTTCGCCTGCAACAATCAACCCGTCCTTTCAATCTACAGCGGATTTCTCGATACGTATATAGTTAAATTTATACTACGGAAAGTTTATTATCATGAAGATTTCGGAGCACTTATTATGAGAATGAGATTGCAACAGCCGTAGTAAAATCTTGTGTCATATTTGAGTATTTCTCACAAGAAAAATTTTTCTAAACATTCAGTGAAAACATTCAGTGACCATTCCACGTCGTTATGTTCAAAGACTTCAAATGGTAGCTATTTTTTGAAGGGTACTCTTTGAAGTGCTGTGACAGACAAGACAAGATTGGGTTTGGCACTCGAAATGGTGAGATTTCGTGGCATTGCTCTCCAGTTACCTCACTTCTGGCAGCATGTCAATTAACTGCAAAACGTAATGTTCTTTTGAATGTTACTGTACAATACAGACTTCTCTCCGAAAAAAAAAACAACTATTGGAATTGATGAGATTTAAGTTATCGATCATTTCATAAAAGTTCATCTAAAAGCTTTGCCCTGCGAGAACTATTTTAGTGTGAGAGGTATAATTACTTTTAATTTTGGAACTTTTTTGGGCAGTCTGAAAACAAGTTATCTCTTCAAAACTGACGATATCTTAGCCATCAAGTAGCTATTAAAACTGAAAGAAATCGAAAACGCATTTTTCCAAGAGGTCAGAACAGTACGCGGACATCGAAAGGAGTCTGCTCCATCATATCTGGCCAATAATTAATACAGTTATTAACAAAAAAAGTATAAATTTCTCCAAAACTACCACCTCAGCATTGAAGCGCGCACTGGCAGCCTCTCTTCGCAGCCGTCCGAACTGCCTGTTAGCCGAAAATGGCGCTGGCCACAGAGAGATAGAGTCAAATTATTCTGTAAGAATTTTTAACTTCACCATCCAAATAGCAGTGCATTATGCTATATTTATACATCCATTGATGCAGAGTGATATGCAGAAAATTCAATTCGCGGAAGCCGAAACCGTGTTTCGCTCATACCGGGGGTGCGTGCTACTTTATTAACAATGGCGACCACTGCTTTTGTAACTCTTTTTTCGGTATAAGGCGTTCTTTGTTCTTCTGATACAGATGTGAAGTTCACTGGATGAAGTTGATTCTTAATTGGGATTGTTTGGTCGTTCGCTTGCAAACACGATTAGAATCCTCAAAACTGCAGGCGTACAGATAGGAAAGTCCAGTCACTCCGAGAAGCTATGGTCCTCCCATTTATGACTTCCAAGGTTTTTCATCAGACGCACTGCACCCTACAAAAAAATAATCGATTTGAACATTTAAGATTCATTCATGCCCGCATTTAATGTTAGAATTTCACATCGAGTGAGGAAGATAATTTACAGAAGCGCATATTTATTCCTGATTACTGATTCACACTGAATCTGTCATTACCTAGATCCAGAATTCCAATCTTATATTGGTCTCATCCTTGTAGCTCATTTCTTGATAACTTCATTATTGCCAATAACGAGCCAACGATGCAAGTATTTCTTGAAATTTGAGCAAGAAGAAGTTTCCTTTATGGTCTTTTATTTCCAAGTTTGCCTACTTTTCGAACAGTATACCATGTACATAATCATAAAATTTTGCGCTCCAATGTAAATTCTGCATTATTTGACCATTCACCATCCACACATTTTGTCGGTTTATTTACTGCTATAATGTTAGACAGTATCGGTAAAACGAGAATGTTTATTCCCAAGCACATTACGGTTCAATATCAGTTTCCACCGACAGTGCCAGTTGCGGAGAAGAAGTGCGATGCAAATGGTCCCATTGCCACCATACGAATTGCTCGGTCCATTACACTTTGCCACATGATTCTCGGCCAAGTCGCCATGACGACGTTTGTGGTCTAATTGGAACTTTTTCTCTTACGAAACGAAGTTTCAAAATGGGCTGCAATTCTTACAGAAATACTTCCTGGTATCAAAGTGTATTTGGAGGAAATAGGCGATATCGTCGCTTCATTCATGGTCGCACATATCCTTCCAGCACCCGCCATTTTTGCAGTGCAAATTCCCGTCACCGTATTGCCGGCAATGATGCAGTACTATCATCAGTCATCGGTTCTGGATCTGAAAAGCATTTTTTGCGATCACACTAGGGACTCGGAAACCTAAGTTAAGTTCTGACAGTTGTTAACTCTTTGATATTCTTCAAGCCCGCTTAAACCATCACAGGACACATTAAATACCATGTCATTCTCAGTAGAACATATAAAAAATCTCGTTCAAAAGGTATCAGTGATTTTGAAGGGTTAAAGCTCAGTTCCATTGTGGCAGCTCCACGACATTTTACGGTACTTTTTCAAAGAATATTGATTTTCTTTGGTAATACATTTTTCTTCTAGCAAATGTTATAACATCGCCTAGAATCTTTCAGATGAATTTCCAACACTGAATACTTACCAAGAGCCTTTGTTATATCAAGAACACCTCTCTGGCAAGATAATGGTTTGTAAGTGACTCTAACTTTGACTTGGTCCAAAATGCCTGAGATTACAAAATCAGGTAGGAGTACACTACGAGCTTGTCTTTCGAGAACGTCGAGAACCTGAAGAACTCATTTTCCACTTATTCGAAGAGTTTACTTGTAAACGTTACCAATCAAATCATGTGAAATTATGAGGTGACGGAGAAACCTTTACAGCTGAAAAGGAATTCGAGATAAAGGGGAGAACACATGAATTTTATGAGTTGAAAGCGCACCGTTTGCATTACGAGACGTGAAACAAATGCTTGAGCTCCTTCTTTGCTAGTTGAAATTCCTGGAACTTGAGAAGAAACCATAGGCTTTTTCAGTGTAAACCATCGCAGCAGGCAAAGTCGAGAAGCCGCTGACGGTGGAAGTTCTAGTACTTGCTGCAATGAAGTTTTGTGAATTTTGAGGTCAATATGAGGATACAAGTAATTATATTCATTAACAAGTCTATTTTTTATTTCTATATCGAACTTGAATTCTTGCATTAAATGTCTCGAACTGCTACATCTCTAGGATACTGATGAAGTAGTAGACTTCATCATTCCGATTAGGATTCATAAGCTTCTGTCTGAAGATAAAAATATCTGAAATGCTATAACAATTTTTGAACCATTACTTGACCCGCAAGTATCACTCCACATCCAAACACTGCCGAAATTGTGGCCAGCAGCAAAATTATGAAGGATCCAGTTGGAGGCTTTGCTATGTCTGTGAAAATATTCATTTTTCCTCCTAAAAACTCAACCAGATATTGTAGATAAAAAAACTAGGTTAAAATGAGTGCCATTTGGCAACATGTGCGTGGAAGGGTTATCTTACAAAGAACTCAAACGAATGGCCTATTTCTTATGTAACGTGTAATAAATTCAGTATCCGCCCTCTCATTTCCGATGCTACGACATAATATTCTGACGTTTCCAAAATCAAATATTCATAAACAATAAAATGCCAATCACAGTTGCACATTTATGTGAAAATTTGTGACAGAAGATGCCGACTGATAAAAGTGAGACGCAACTTTTGGGGCAAAATGTTGGCAACGAATATCTGAGAAACACAACTCACGGTGATTTAATTCGATGTCTTATGTGGCTCTCACATCTAGACATCTACGAAATCTCTTCTGCTGGTAGAAAGGTTGACTGATAGTAAAAAATTTTCCATACCCAAGAATGTATAGTGTGCGAAGACATGGTTACTTGTTGACAAATAGTGCGTTGTAGGGTAGGAAGAGTGTTTTGCAAAACAAGCGTGGGTAGTGCAACGGTTAGCACGTGCTCCCAGAAAGAGTGAGATGTGGGTTCGAATTCCAGCCAGATTAAAATTTCAATCTAGGACGCAAATGTTCTTGCACAACACTTTACATTAGTGGGCATATTATAAGATAATCCACCGCAAGAAGCGGTCACATAAAAGAATTACGAAAAATTTATACAATTTTAGTGACTAGAGAGCCGACAGAGCTGAGGTGACACAAAGAATGCAAAAATGCGAGGAAGAGAAGGAGCTACCATTTCAGATTTGATTGTGAGAAAAGACGGCCGCATTAAATTATCAGATCTTGCTGTGAGCCACGGTAATGTTGGATGTGAATAGTTAAGGAGAATTTCGGGTTCTTTTCTGCTAAACGACGACAAGCGAAAAAGCGGCCTTTTCCGTTTGTTATGCGGTGTGCCTATTTTCTGGAAAGACCGTTTCACTGCAGTGTAACAAGGAAAACAAGATCGAGTTCATATATCGGTCTCTTGTTTACTTGTCGATCTACGGTGGGGAGAAGGGCGAGTGGCTTGCAACTTCTTAGTCAACTGGGAATTTTTCTCCACTATTGAAGAAACTTTATTTAAAACAACTTACTCGGATACTACGAGATTTTCTTTACACGTTCATATGTTTTTCGTGATTCAACGAAGTAGCAGTTGATTCGTGCTGCTGATGTCAAACATGCTTTCATTATGAATTTACAGTGTTACAAAAGGGTGCTTTTTTGAAACGCCACGTAGCGTAGTAGCTAGGGATTTAAGCTTTCGAACGATCATTGACACTTTTATGAAAAGTTCTTGTTCGATGAAATGAATCGTTTCTTTATTTGTCACCGTCTAGGAGAAAAGAACCAAATTTTATTTTTCTAATCGCTTTTAGTGGTCCTATGATGCTGTGATAGGTACACGAGATGGTGTAAAGTGATGTGTAAGACTTTTGCGTTAGGCGGGACTCAAGACCGCATTTCACCTTATCCGCGAGCGCGAGCTCTAAACCATTGTTTTACAGACGCCTGTTTTGCTACCACTCTAATTACGCTACAATTCATTTATCTGTCAGCGACCAACCGTCCACGGCTTGGTCTGAGCAGCCGTTATCGACATTGAGCCCAGTCAATGCTAGAGTTTGGTGAAATAGCTAATCTTTTAGGATGAGAATGACGTAACTGTTATAATGAGAAGTATAGCCTAAGAACTAATTCTTATACAAAGCTTTACAAGGTTGATATCTTTTTCGCGATCGATTGCCCTTTTTTTGGTCGATGGGTTTTCTAGGTTGCTTGTGGCTGAAGTTTTGGCAATTACGCCTTCTTCAGAGCCTGAACGTATTAATCATGCAACGTTACTTATATGACTATGTATTGTGGAAAAACAAAGTCTAGGGCCTTGATAAACGATAACTGATCAAGGGAAAATCAGTCACCGTTCCATCTAGTCTAGGGGCTACCTATGTTGTTAGCGCAAGGTGACGTATGAACCCGCCCCATGTCACTAGGTCAAATTAACGATAGGTGTTACTTGTACTAAGGTTAGAAATTCAATCTGAGATAAGGTGTCATGTGGGTGGTTATGTTAAGGCACTTTTTTTTTATGTTCAATTGAGGGTTTCTGAAATTTATCCGGGAAGCTTCAAGTGTTTTTCGCGCAAATGTTTTTGATTCGTGCCCCAGGATTTTGACTGTTACCTCAAAGTCGCATCGTTGTGCCTTCGTATACTGTGTGTACCTAGAGGTTTACTTGAATCTTTATTTGTTTTTCTGTCTAGGTGTTCTTTAATGCGGATGTGAAGTGGCCTGCCTGTCTTGCCAATTAATCGCCACCACATGTCTTACAAAAGATAAGGTATATTGTACCTACGCTCATGCAATCGCCGTCTCTACCGTTGAGAGAAGTATATTAGATAGGACGGTCATAGAAGAGGTTTTGGACTAATTGTTGACACAGTGTTTTAGGAGGAATTCCAATTATTCCTACAAGTCTTCTAGATCACTGCTTTTTAGACACCTTCTAATATCGGTACTGACTTTGTCTGTTATGAAAGGTAGTATAAGAGGTACCTTATTGTTTAGGTGTGGCACCCTGTCGTTCCCATTGCAATGCTTTTCGCTCCTTTTTGGCCTAACGTTAGCTGATGTTTTTTTCTTCTACCCATTAAAAATGGCTATTTGTCGCACTAAGTTAGCAATTCCCTTCTTTCATCGTCTCCCGTACAAATATTTATAGCTGTTCGATACATATTTTGGATAAGCGCTTTTTTAGTAGTGAGGGATGAGAAGAGAGGTGCTGTACCAAGATGTTTATTACTAGGCTTGCGACACCATTTTGTATTGTAGCCACTTTCATAGAGTTGAAGTTGAGCGTTCAAGAAGGGAAGCCAGTTCTCTGATTTTCATTGTTCTCGCGATTTAATAAATTCTGGCTGTCTGCTCAAAAATTCGAAGCATACATCCATCTCCTCTTGTGTAGAACAGATGACAAAACATTCGCCTATATATCGAAAGTATGAGAGATCGACATTGGGCGCCGATGGAGAACTGGAACTTTCACTTTTGACATAAAAGCAATGAATAAGCTGGGTGTTAGTCTATGCCCCATTGTCAACCCTCTAATTTGCATGAAATATTTTCCCGATCACCTAAATGTCGAACAGCTTAGGCGTGACTCAAGGAGTGTGATAAGCTGTTGAGCAGACAAGCCTAACATATCTATTCTTTCGATGTTTTCTATTAGTAAGTTGTATAGGGCGCTCTAATATCAAACGACTCCATCACATATGTATGATGTGGACGCGCGTTTTTAAGGTGTTCTAGGAATATAATGGTGTTTAGGAGATGGGTTGGTACGAACTTCAATAACTGCGACGATATGAGGTCGAGTAACTATGTTATCCTATCCGTCGGCCCGCCTACACAGCTATGATTGGTCCAACTTTGAATGTAGAGGAATCGGTAGACTTAAAATCATTAGCAGAAAGTATTTCAATGAGTGTGTATAGGACGGAGCAAGTTGGTAAATCAATTTGAGATGACGGATAAGCGATTGTTGTAAATACGCAGCTATTCCCGTTCGGTCCCATTCTTTATTCAATTTTGGGTATAGAGATTTATATTACACTTCACAGGAAGGTCGATAGAGAGAAGCATCATGTAGATGTTTCTTCGTTATATCTGCATCTAACTGACGAGGAATAACTACAAATTCTCCACCTTCATCGCTAATAGATAATCGGATGTTTCTTGGGTTTATCAGCTCTCGAACTTGTCTCATACTATGTCTTTGTTTGTTAATCAGGTTTGAGCTGAATGTTGAATGACATAACTGATCTGCGGCATTCTCGCTCACTTTATTGGACGTTCTAGGGCTCGCGTTACGTGAATGTCTGAGGAGTTCCGCCATTTTTTCGCAATTTCTCTGTGATGTGTAAAGAAACAAAAGTTTCCGTTGCACATTTTGTGTAGTGAAGTCTCATTCGATTCGTTTTGTAGTCGCAGACTCTTCACTGCTCATCTGTGCTCTATAAACGTTTAGAAGAACACGCGTATAAAACGAATTTTTATCATTTTATGCTAAGGTTCAATTCAGTTCACTCCGTATCTTAGATTTTTGAGATAACTCGAAGACAAACGGAGGGACTGTTGTATTTCCTCTTCGTCAAGTAGTAGGAATTGCTCTGATCATAAGAGCGGGCAATCGATGATACAATTTTATGTTTATTTATATGCAGGCAGAGAACAAAGCTCCTCTGTTAAGTAAAATTTCTTCTACAGCATGGCTTTCATCTGTTCAAAGATAATCTAGGATTGACACTCCAGCTAAGATATAGATGCTTTTATATGAATAGTGCAGAACGTCGGCTGGCGTCATTGTGTGGTTGAAGATGGTTCTCAATAATACAATTGAGCGCTTGCTAATACTTCAACGAGTCGGCAGTTTTATACTAGAAAAACTCATTCGTCAGGTTAGAATTACTATTTAGAGAACAACTGCTGACGTTGTTCTCTAAGAAACCTTTCATTCATGGTTCTGAAGACGAGGAGTTGCAATGGAAAGCAATGCGTCTTCAAATGCGTTACACTTCATTTGTTATCGAGGAAGGGAAAGCTTTAACTGAGTTTCAGCATGTTATCGACAATCATGTGGCTCGGAAGGCAATGATTCTCTTTTGGTGTTTTGCGAATGACAAATTGCAAGTGCTGTCAACTCTGCCAGCAGCTGTTCCGTTATGAGACTTTAATAAACGCCGAATGAAGCTGAATAAACGATTATATGTTATAACGTTAGAGCGTTATACTATCGGATTTGTGCGGTGCTTCATCCAACTTTATTCGTCTAATTGTAACGGTTGAAAGGCAAAATGCAGAATCAGCAACCACTGTGAACACGGGACACAATTAATCATGACTCTGATGAAAGCGATGCTATCGAAATGTTAACCACATTGAAGATGTTTTGCAGTTGTGTGTAAGCTGATCAATGGAACAGTATTTCGATAAACTATATCGTGTTTCAAGAAATTTTGAAATTGAAAGTTGTTTCTTGTTCAAAAACAAGGGTGTGCAAAACAAGGGCAGGCTTCATTTTGTGGCTTGAGTCTCTCAAACACATAGCCTGTTGACCGCTTACATAAAAGACCGATCATTAGCGCTCCGAATTTCACCATCAGTAGTGGAAGAATAATTCTCAGTTCAAAAAATTGTTATTCACAAGCCCTTCACTTTGCGTTGCTCTTCTGACTGGATATACAAAAATGACGAGAAATTGTTATTCAACCGCCTTTTCAGCGATTTGATTGTATAACTAATTCAATAATGCTGGATGGTATGCAAAACTTTAAAATTCGAACAGGAGTTGAAGTCGTAATTCACGCCTTCCGGGGCTGTCAACACTTGTTCATCGCAGTGAGGCGTCGACCCTTATAAATCAAAAATGACCTTTCTCGAGCAGTGCTGAGAAATTTTTTGACCATGAGCGACGGGAGTCCATTTAATTTCGAGTGATTTGAACAGAGAACTTGTGCGGTCATTTTCGTCTATAGGTAGACAAATGAATATTCGAGCTCATTC